AGCTTTGTTTATTAAAGCAGCATGCGCTAGGCACGCTGGCTCTGCTGTGTATTTGGGCACCCCCAGTGCCAGGGCAGGCACCGCCGGCCGTGCGGGCCCGGGGAGACATGGGACAGACACCGAGAGCAGGCAGCCTTATTCCTCTTGGGGGGAAGGGCTCCCGGGCCCTGAACCCCCCTTCCCTGCTCTCAGTCTGCCCTCCTCATCCTACCCAGCCTCACCCCCACCCCCACTGCTCACTCGCCCCAGGCAGCCCCGCCTGCTCCACAGCCCTTCCAGGCCCAAGGTGCTTTCTGCTGTCCCCTGGGCCTCAGGAGGCGAGAGGCTGCACGTACTTCCCCAGTGGGGCACACCCGGCCTCCCCCTCCTCATGCTGCTAGTGCTGCAGGGCCTGGGGAAACTGAGGCACGCCCCCACCCCCCCACACAGCATCCATACAGAGCACATAAAAGACAAATACCACAGGATTACAACAGTAGCCAGCACCCCCTCTACGTCACCCCCCAGGGGCGTAACCCCTCCTGCCCTGCCATGGCCACCTAGCAAGGTGGCTTTCAGGGCTGCTTCGTCTAGCTCCCTGCTGACCTGAGCATGCAAACAAGAGACCGGACGGGCGGCCCTTCCTGCTAGTCCAGGGGTGCCCAATCTTTTCGAGCGTACCGGCCCCTTTTCAATGTATTAACATTTCACACACACCCCCCCGTGGGAGAAAAGACAGGGTCGGGCCCATCGCGATGTGGGCGCGTTTGTGGTCATGCATCTGTGCACGTGTGTGGGTGTGCACGTCTGCTGGTGCACGTTTGTGTGCGCGTTGGTGTGTCCCCGTACGTGCATGCGCTTGTGTGTTGGTGCATTTGTGCGCACGTGCAAATGGGGGCATGTGTTTTGATCCAAGCCATGCTGGGCCAGCACACAGGTCAGGAAGCCCCGTCGGCTCCGATTGGTGTTCCCTTGCAGATGCCCACTGCCAGGTGGCTCATGCTGGGCCCCCCAGAATCAGCGCTCTCTCTCTTAAACACATAGGCCAGCCAACTGCGCGCGCAGGACTGTGCAGCGCTGCCCTCTGCTGGACGGACTCACTCGCGTGTCATACCCCCCGCACTGCTAAGAGCTAAGGAGAGTCTCCACCAGTCCACTCTCCCCCGATTGTGAGAGTGTCTTAAAAGTGAAGAGGTATTGAGCAATGGCCCGTGTGCTTGCAGGGCAGGTCTGTCTGATTGCCCTTGAGGGGCATTGCCAGGTTCTCCTGGAAGGTAGAAAGCTGCCAAATGAAATGTTCGCATCCCAGCCTGACCCAGGGAGCTGAGGCTGCCGGGAACCCACAGCCCTGGGCTCTGGCCCACACCCCCTTTCCTTGCAGCTCCCTGGCTGCCGACAGCGGCCAATGCCAGGTGCCCCAGAGGGAGTGAGCCTCCTGCCGCCCATTGCAGCGCCTGACACACAGAAGCTAGGGACATGCAGAACATGGTGTTGGATCCCTGCTCGCACCGAGGGCATTTATCTAGCACTTTTGGGAAACTTGGCCTTCGCAGCGTCCTCTGGCAAGGAGTTCCACAGGTTGGCTCTGAAGAAAAATGGTCTTTAATTGTAAATCTGCAGTCTATTAATTTCCTTGCATGACTCCTAGTCCTCCTGTTCTTTGAAGGAGGCTGATTGGCACCTGCCCTGGTGTGGCCCGGCCCACAGTGCTGGGGGGTCCCCGTGGCGCCCCTTTGCAGCCTTTTTGCATCTTTTGCTTCAAACTCTTTTGAGAACTTTTGCACCAGCTGCACAGGCTGGCCACGGCCCCTGGCC